ATTATAGTTATTCGTTTACAGAAATTACGGGCTTAAAACTTTTCTATTGGAGGTTTCGAAGGTGTAAGCCAAAGTATTAGAACGATTTTTATTGCCAAAGAACTTTTATTCCCTTGTTACGTAACTTCGAATATTTCTGGCAGTATGTTTTCTTTAAAAGAATTGACTGTCTGTTGCCAGCCATTCTAAAACGCAGACAGATTTTTTTTCTGTCAATAATATCACTTAACCCCTGTCTAAACAAAATACTGTATGTTATCAAAAGGAATAAAACCAGAATCTAAACAAGGAATATGTTTAGCTTACTAAAAAATCTGAAATCACTGTCTAGACTTGCAAAAATTGCAGACAATAAAAATAAAATCTTCCTGCAACATATATATTTCGTTGCGAAAACAGTAGGACAACCGTTAAAGAATACTAAGATATCAACATATATATTTCAATAATAATTTTGAAACTAGAAGATAAATAATTTTACAATACTTTCAAAAACAGAAAAGGCGAGAGCTGAAATGTAAATCAGGTTTTCTATCTCAAACAACTGCCTTGATACAGTCAAGAATAGTTTCTGTTATCTGTCTATATATTTTGCTACAAAGTATATTTGCTGTTATATAACATTTACGTTAAAACGGGACAATATTATAGGTAAACTTCAGTAAAGATTTGTGCTTAAGTTTTACGAAAATATAGATGCTAGAAGTTATATTGAAATTTATGTAAAATAAGTTTTTAGTACCTGTTATACTGAAGTCTAACTCAGACTGCAAACATTGTCATAAAAAAATCAGCAAGTTTTTCCATTGTCACCGAATTACCAGATACTTAAAAAAGTTCATGGGATACAAATAAGTGGAGTTTGCTCAAGTTTACTTTTAAATTTGTTTTACGAAGGTTTATAGATTTAAGGAAGTAGAGCATACTTAAGACTTAAAAACTTATCAACGACATTTTAATTAAGAATCTAACCTGACTTGCCTTTTAAATAAAAAAGTCATTTCATATTAAATGAGGAATAAATTAAATATTATTTAAATTTGTATCTTGAAAGCAACAGCAATTTACACAACGCCAGCGGCGCATGGATAGACCTGTCTCAGGCTCATCAGTGATGAATGACAACACTGTGAAACATCTGGCGATGAAAAGAAAGGCCGTGAATTACCTTAGTTATCAAAAGATAGAATGAAACATAGAGACCTGATTGCCTAATTGAAGGAAGAATAAGAATTCTTAACCCCACTGTTCTCTTTTTTCCATTATACAATCGATAATAAGAAATAAATGCTTCGTTTAAAACTTTTCTTAATTACGTTCTTTCGCTACCAGTCACTAACAGCTTTGTTGCACATTTTAATTAGAATGACAGCATTTTCAAGGCACTAAATACTTCATGTTCCTCATGTTTTATGATTTCATTTATTTCACCTTATTCTCTTATATCTCCATACTTCAATATTTACGGTTGCGCTTCCGACAAAAAATTTATCCTTACGTTTTTAAAATGCATTTTCTCTTATCTTAACCTTTTACACCGGCATAAATCCCAGTTGTTGCAATAAAGTAAAGTACGGGTTAAAGAGTCAAAGATTTTGTCTGCATATTTATTTTACCGATACGGATCTAGATTACAATTTAAGATATCCATCCATCTATATCTGAAATATTACAATGAAATTTGATAGGTTCAGAAGTAATGACCATCAGTGCAGAACGACAACACTGTGGAGTATGTGGCGATGAAGAGAGAAGCCGTGAATCTTGTATGTTACCAAAAGATACAATCAGACATGGAGAAATGATGATACCACATATCGGTCTTTTAGCTAAGATCGGAATATATATAAATACAGAAGTGATAAACACTATTCGTTTCAGAAGTGCGTTTTTAAATACTACATGTAATTAACAACATTTAGAGCATTTAAATAAATACATTCACGCTTCACCAAAGGCATCTTATAACATACAAAGCAAACAATAGTGGTGGATAGAAAATTGTAGTTTTTTAGGATTTTTTTCATAGTAAATAAACAGGAACTGCTTTACTGAATAGCTACTTATCACAGATTAAATTGACTTTACTCATCCAATCTTAAGTTTGATTTATAATTAATACTGTAAATCAAAATATGTATTCCACTACATAAAGAATGCATGCACAACTACAGATGGAGGACAAAATAATGAGAATACCTGAGAAAAAGTATGACGTATTTCCCACTTGCAGTACAGCAGCGCCACCTGCAACAAAAGTCCGTCACCTTGTGATCGTGAACAGAAAGGTATCAGTGTCTCAACAGCAGTCAACTGCGTTTCATGCTGCGATCGAACTGTCTGTGAGAAATTGAAATGTCAGACCTGTCAGCATTCCAAAGAGGAATGATAGTTGGAGCGCGTTTAAGTGGAACATCGGTTACGAAAACTGCAAACCTTGTGGGGTGTGCAAGGAGTAGGGTATCAGCCGCTATGACAGCGTACACGAAAGAGGGTAAAACGACGTCTTCAAAGCACAACAGTGGCCGAGAGTCAAAGCTGGCTGACAGGGATACATGGGTCTTGAAGCACAAGAAATCGTTATCCGAGATAACGTCCGAAATGAAATGAATAGTCATCTCCAGGACCCCGTTTCAACAAAAACTGTCAAAAGGGAACTGCCAACATCTATGGCAACAGGTAATATGGTCAGATAAATCGTTATTCACCGCATTTCAGACGACCGGACGCGTTTATGTCTGGAGAAAGCCCAAAGAAGCGTTTCACGCCGACTCCTCTTTCCGACTGTGAAGCATGAGGGTGGCGTCATTATGGTATGGAGTGCGATATCTTGGCGCGGTCTTGGGCCACTTGTTATTCTGCATAGGAGGATCACATCCAATCACTATTTAGATAGTGATCCCCTAGAATGCTTAGCATTCTAGGGGATCATGTACATCCTTTTGTCCAGATTGTATTCCCGGGTAGCGACCGCTTTTCAAGACGACAACGCCTCTATCCACACTGCTAGGTTTACTCAAGAATGGTTCGAAGAGCATGACGATACAATTGAACATCTCGCTTGGCCCTCTCAGTCTCCGAACTTAAATATGATTGAACATTTATGGGCATATTTGGAGTCCAAACTTCGTTCCCGATTTCGACCTCCATCCGGACTTTCGGAATTAGAGAGGGCTCTGCAGGAGGAATGGCTTAATATTCCTTTAAATATTATCTGTGACCTTTATGCATCTATCCCACGTCGCATTCAATCTGTACTTCAGTCAAAGGGTGGTCCAACCCCCTATTAATAGAGATTTTCCATTATTTCACAGATGTTCCTATTATTTTGTCCTCCATCTGTAGGTATTTTCAGTATACTGATAGAATATGGCAGAAACAATTACACAAAAATCAAAACTTGCAGAAATGCAAAATAGTATATATGGCAGAATAATATTAAATCTCTTTTATGTATTTAAGCAGCAGTGTACGCTTTTTATTTTAGAATAATTTTATTAAAGGGATATTTATAGTAAAGCGCGTGAACGAGTTCAAAAGAAAAAAATTAATAAGAAAATTGTTTTGTTTTTATTTTATGGGTAAATTAGCGGGAAAAAAACTTTCATAGTAACTAAGAACATTAATGATCAACTATGGAATGAATATCTGAATACCAATCATCAACTAAAACTATTCAAGACTTCATTAATTAAAATTTCCATTGCAGAATTGGAGCTCGCGTAAAAGCTGCTCTAAAGACAGCTGCACATGTAATTCGATTTTGAGCTTAATTTTCACGAAGATTTACGCATAGGTTTCAGTTTTTCTTCTAACGAAATAAGTAATTCCCTAACGAATTCCCTGATGAAAATAAATTTTTATACGATCCCTGACATTTCTATAGTTTTTCTTTCATTTCTGCGAAAATGGTGTAAGCCGTACATGAGTATATTTTGAGTAACTGATTTCGGGCAAATTTTTCGCTCTCAGAATCATTAATTTAAAAGCTTCTAGTAAGCTAAAACCAACTAATAATTAGAACATTCCCTTTAGAAAATCCATAGAAAATTTAATTTTTAAAGATTTTCTCTGTTAGTTATCGCATGTCGAATGATAGTATCTAATAGCCTGCTTAAAATGATTCGCTTCTTGAACTGGACCAGTGTGTCTCACGACTTGTCGTTCAAAAGACAATTAGTCCTGCAGTATTTCTAAGCCACACTGTATAAATATGTATGTAAAAATCGTAAAGATATAAAGAATTGTACTTAAATAAACATGAAATAAATAAAATACTCAAGCATATGTTTCTAGTCTGAGATATTTACTGTGTTTGCATGAAATTCTATTAGGGCTACATATATAAGTAATAATGTTAAATATGCATCAGTCTTAACTAAACTGTAAAAAGAAAAGCAATTCTTTTTACATACACATCATCAGAAGTGTTTCGTTGTGATTTATAAATAGAGGAGAATTTTAGTTTGCAGTTTGTTGTTTTGAGTAAATATAATTTTGTTGCAAAACATGTGGCAAAATTGCATTTAACTTTTAGAGTTAAATGGTTTCAAATTGTTTTCCCTCTGATAATTTATAATTGTCATTTTGCTACAAAATGAAAAATAAATATGAAAACATTTCCTCTTTTGCACTCATGAGAAATAATAATGATTACAATGTGATCATTTATTCTGATCGATAAAACTTTTATTTCCCAAAATATGCAAAAATATAAAAAAAAACTAACTTTGAAAAATGATCATTTTGGTTTTTAATCAAAAAAAAAAAAAAAAAAAAAAAAAAAAAAAAGATAAAAAGAATGAGCATGAACAATATACATTACATTAACAGAAGTATTTGAATAAAATATAAAGAAAAACCACATCAAACTGCTTTAGTAATTTGTAAGTTTAACATTACTGAAAACTGGTCTATTGTGACTTATATTCTAACTAGAATAAAATTTTAATTTCTTAATCTATTCATAGATAATTCCATTTATTTTTATAGATACTCACCCAAACATCTCCATCTGCATACTTAGGCTTGCATTAACAGAACAAAAAAATTAGCATGACAAAGAACAGGATGGATAAAGGAATTCTTAATTTTAAGCATTGTTGTTAATTTAACAATGGTGAAGATGAAAGCATATACATTATATGTCAACGATAGTTTTAGGGATAAGTTGGAATACACATACTTCATTGACAGAAGCTAAATATTTCAGTGAGTAACTGGAGAAGCAGCCTTTATTCTAAGTCTATCAGAAGATCTCCCATTATTATAGATGAAACACAAATTTAAAAAAATAACATTATGCTATAACCATAATATACTATTCCAAATATATGCGAAGACGACATTAAAATGTCTAGTTCCGATATTAGCTAAAATATTGTACATATTTAAAAAGTCATAAGAAGTTAGTACATTTCAAATTATTACTTAGAAGACTAAAAGTTTTTTAATCGAAAACAGTAAGTAAAATTTTTCTAAGTTCTTAATTTGAGTATTCCTACATATCCTGAAGTTGAAAAAACATTTATTTTATGATTTAAATGCATTACAGCTCGAAATTTTCCCATTAACTCGTTTGGAAGAGTAAGCCATAATCATTACAGATGGACTTGGATATCCTGACCCTAATGCTAGCAGCGGATGCACAGATATAGTTAAAAGATCAATATGATATCGTTTGCCGTCTGCTGTGTGATGCGTCTGCCATTTGGAAGCAAATGTTGATGAATGAACCACCAAGCTAATAATCACAGAATACGATGTACAAGGTCTTTACAGTATTGATGAGGCTGGATTACGTTTTTTTTAAGTAATGTCAGATAAAGAACTTAAAAAATTCATTCAAAAAGGAGAAATATCACAATGAAAAGAAAGAGTGCTTGATACTTAGTCTTACTTATAAATACGGATGTTATAGGTAAAAGAAAAGATAGTTTTATTGGTAAAATTTTAATAAGCCTTTGCTTAGAACAGGGAGGGAAGTATTCAAAAGACTAAATCGATAGTACGATATGTGTCTAAGAAGCAGGGGGAAAAACCCGTTCACCTAGTTGTAAGAAGCGAATGCATGTACTGACAAACAGGGTAAAAGAGCAGACGTGAATAAAATACGTTTTCCAATAAACAATACCTATTTCACTATATTTCATCAATAAGTATTTATAACATTTATGCAGCTTGAGCTTGTTTGGTTACTAAAATTTCAGTTGTAAGAATGAACGTTAATTTTCTTTCGAATTTCCTAAATAGATGTTCGATTATATTAAGATAACTTTTATCATTTATATAATTCAGAATTTTAATTTCATGTTTAAGTAATGAGATTTGGTTGGGACTCAGACACTTCTATTTGCAGATAGATGTGTGTACTAACACGGAAAACAGCTACCCGTACAGTTTCTATCAACAATGGGATGAGATTAGTTAGATCTTGGTTTATAATTGATCATCATTTGATCAAGAGCGCGCTTTGTTATTGATATTTTAAAGAGATCTGAGAGAATTATGTTAAAGTACGATAAAATTTATCTTTAATCTCTATAAGTATAACAACTTTCTTAAGGGTAAGTTATACAGTATTCCTTAAGTTATACAGAGCTAGCATAAATGATTAATTCATTTTTGAAAAGGCTATATTTTCAAAAGTATTACGCGTACACACATGAAAAGAACAACAAACTCGCCAAGTCCTTTTCACTATTTCACCAAGTTTCTTGGATAAGTGGAACGCTGCTTCATCCCCGAATATCAACTTGGTGGCGAAATCTTCGTCCTCCAATCCTTCCTGCACGTTGACACAAAAATCTAGTCGAAGGGCGTCATCTTCCGGCTTTAATTGTTGCAGGAGTTACAGATGGTACGGTTTGAAATGCAACCGTTGACGCAAAATCTTCCACACAGTTTTTTTGCGGTATTTCGAACATCTGGTCAACTGGCAGGATGAACATCTCGACAACAATGCTATAAAATGTATGGAATGACTTCGATTATCGTCTAGACGTGTGTCGTGTCACCAAAGGGGCACATACTGAATATTTGTAGAAGGTGTATAAATTTGGTGAGTCTATGATTCTTTTCATATATCTTTCATGTGTGTACGTGAAATACTTTTGAAAATATAGCCTTTTCAAAACGAATGAATCATTTATGCTAGCCCTGTATAACACAAACAATACTGTAGTATTAAGCTGAGCCGAGGTCTTTCGGATGACAGTTTTTTTTTTTTTTTTGTTTTTGTTTTTTTTGTTTTTGTTATAACTTTATGTTTTCGTTTTGATTAAACGGTAATGCAGTTTCGGCCATTAAAATTGCAAAACCACAAAGGCAGCATGCAACAAACGTCGAATTTGCCTGAAAGGTGGTATTACAGGGATATACAAATGATAAACATTCCACGGCATGCGTACAAAGCACTTACGAATTATGCCTTCTACACTATATATAAATGGGAAGACTGTACAGCCAGTTTCTAATTTAGAAATCAAATTTGAATTTTGTTTGTGTAAAGGTCGTGTTATGCCTAGTGTAAGGAGAAACTTCTCAAAGGACGTGTCTGAAAATCGATTGCAGCAGAATCATTGCCTACCGGGACTGGATTTATACTTCTACCACATTGCTACTCGTGTTGATCGAGATGATCCGAGATTGCGCAGCGAATATGCAATCGATGAAGGCCTTACTGAGCGCCATGCAAGACCTTGCGCGCCATAAGGCTGAAAGGGCAGACATGTCCTCTCAAGGTTTCGAGATTATAAGCTATGTCTCGTACATTGAATAAGGAAATTGCCTTGTGTACAAAACGGCAAATGTCCGCAAGGATAGTTCCATGACGTCTGCAGCACTATAGATTGCTACTGTTGCGGCTTGCCTTGATGCTACAGCAGAGACACACGCGACTACAGTGATGCGTCGAAAAGACACTGCACGCATGTGCGGCACCACATCGTCTTGTCAGATGAATCCAGGTCCTGCATACAGCATTATGGCGAACGTAACCACGTAAGGAGGCACTGAGGAGAACGAACGTTGCCAGCTTGCATTAGCCAGACATGCATGACGTTATCTTTTAACAAGGTAATTCGTAACCGCATATTGCCCGTGCTGTCCTGACCTTCTTCAATAAAGAAGGTGTTTAACAGTTGCTCAGAGTAACACATTCTTCAAATTTATTAACAAATTCTTAAAATTATTTAATAATGGGATGCTGAGAAACTGGTACACCACCACTCGAAGCCCACTATGATTGATGAACTCTGGCAAAGAGTTAGAGTCGCATAAAATGAAATACCGATATCTCCCACCCAAGCTCAGTTCGATGCTCTAGGCGAGCGGTAATGTTGCTAAACACTGATAGTTCGATCCAGGGTGCAGCAATAAAAAAAAAAAAAAAAAAAAAAAATTGACTTGATGCCCAAGCCGGATTGCAGCCGTTTTTTCTGCTAGAGGCAGTTCTGTGTACTGAATTCTGCAGGGCTGTGTACCCCAAAGCACCTACAAATTTAATCATATCTTTCTCCCATTACGCTAACAATAAATAAGATTATGCTAGTTTCCTTTTTTTACGTGGTGTAGCATTTTTAATGACCAGAATGGTAAAATGACACACATTTCTGAATATCTATCAGGTGAAAGTGCATAACATTTCATTTCTCAGTTTTCCTCAAATTTAGGCATATGAAAAAAGTGGAATTTAAAGGATCCGGACATAATTGTACCATAACCCACAGAAAAAAAATAAACAGGATATTGATTCAGAAGTCAAACAACAAAAATCAGCGTTAATTCACAAAATTTTCACAGGACTAGTTTCGATGGTTTTACCGAACCATCATCTTCAGCTGCAAAACCGCAAATGAACAAGATAGGAAATAATGTTTAGATAAGATAAGAAAGCCTGGACAAGAATAAGCAAGTGGCGCCATCTGTTGGCGAAACCAGAACTAAAACATAATTTCTCTAAAAGCCGAAGGCAAATTTGGATTGGAATTAGGATCGTTAACTAAAACAGAAAGATTTTTATGAATGTGAAATGCCTCTAGAAAATCCAGTTCTCCAATGGAAGATGTTTTTTGAATAATTTTGGCAGCAGAAAAATTGAAAGTGTGATTTTCGGACCAACAATGTTGAGCAACAGAAGACTTCTGTGTTTCCTTTTTTCTAACATATGCCTCATGTTCTTTGACGCGAAATTTTAAGGCTCTCTTAGTTTGGCCAATGTAAATTAAACCGCACTGGCAAGGAATCCTATAAATACCCCAGGAATTCATATCCGGAATGGGGTCCTTGAGTATAGAAGTTGGAATTTTATTGATGGGAGAGTAAACAACCCGAAAGTTAAATTTCTGCAAAATATGTGCAACTTTATAGCTAATTGATGGAAAGAAGGGAATGACAACAGAATTTTTATAATCTCCTAAAATAAGAGTGTGGCTTTTAGTGTGTGTTGAGATGAGAATTTTTTAACTGCTTGATTAATAATGTTGGGTGAAAAGCCCCTGTCAATAGCTATTGCTTTTAAATAATTTAGTTCTTCATCAAGGGCTAGTTTGGAGGAGCAAACTTGAAGAGCACGGAAAACATAGGAATAAAATGAAGCTAACTTTTGTTTAGTCGGATGACATGACTTAAAGTGTGGTGGAAGGCAAACCGATGAAGGTTTACGGTAAACTGTAGTACTGAAGTTGGATGTGTTACGTGTGACCAGAATGTCGAGAAACGGAAGAGAATTGCAAGTCTCAAGTTCAAAAGTGAACTGAATAGCAGGATCAATAGAATTCATTGTTGAAAGAACTCTATTTAAATCATCTTTATTACCTTCAAACAGGGTAAAAGTATCGTCTACGTAGCGGAACCATGCCGGGAATTTTAAAGTTTCAAACAATTTTGATTCATAATAATGCATGTAGATATCAGCCAGGATGGGACTGAGGGGGCTTCCCACGGATATTATTTATCTGCAGGATATTATTTATCTGCAGGCCAAATAAATATTTATGGGATTGAAAGAGGAGGATTATGATTCAAATATACAAGGTCTGTACCGAAAGTAATGCGCCCATTTTTAATAAGAAATTTATTGAACCGATTCGTAAAATTACTCAATACGCTTCGAAATGCATCCCTCCTGCTTTAACATCCTTATTGCAACGCGATTTCCATAATTTATATGCTTCGTGGAAGTCCGTCACAGGGATGTCCTTAAGTAACCTCATCGTAGCCGCCTTGATGTTCTCCGGGATCCCCAAATGCTGTCCTTTGAGGGATTTTTTAATCTTCGGGAACAAAAAGAAGTCGGGCGGGTACAAATTCTTCTGAAGCAAGCAAAAGTCTCCGACGGCGTTTTCTCAAGTTTGGGGGAAACAAAACTTTATCGTATATCGCTCGAGAGTTTTTTCCATCTTTCCGACCGAGCACTCACACAACGGTTCACTGAAACAGCACTATGACTCTCGGAACGTTGGTCGCGCTGTGTTCCCAAGACTCATCCACCCTTCCGTGCAAGCGGCAACGCTGTGCGACAAATAGTCGCGGCAGAAGAAAATGGAGAGCATTAATTTATTATTGCATTTATCATTACATTAAAAGAATAACCTGATGACATTTCTGTTAAACTAGAATTAAAAAATGAATTATTTAATTCTAGTTTAACAGAATTATTTATATTTATCTGCTTAACACAATTTAGTAACCAATTTGAAGTCAACTAAAATTGAACTAAGCTTTATTCTTTTCATTGAAGTAAAATTTCAAAATTAACTGTTTCATTTACCCAACTTTTTAAAGTACATCAATCAGTGAGAGAAAACAAAAAGCACTTAAATTAAATTTTACTTTGTTGAGAGAACAGGCAATTTCGCACAAATATTTAACATAAAGATATGCAAATAGATATACAGGTAAACTACGGACCTCAATACAAAACTCCTTACTATGTTAAAGAAAGTTATCTAGAAAATATTGTTACTAAGAATTTTTGAATTTGCATATCTCCGAAGTTTATCACTATTTTTACCCTCTAAATCACACTTCATTTTACCACTCGAAGTAACTAAAGACTAAAGCTAAGTGCAATTAATTATTAATTGCATTTCAAAATCGTGAAATAGCATCAGAAGTCTGTGCATGGAAGAATGTGCTCGTGATTTTAATAGGTGAACAGTGCTGTGCTTCGTGAAGTGCTGGTGTGTATACCTCCGGTTGAGATCTTAAATGCCTTTCATAGGCATCAGAATGCCGAGGACGCTGTCGATATACACCAGAATGTTCGTTATCCACTTGAGTCTGAAATCGATAATATTTTTTTTAAAAAAGAAATATTTCTGCTTTATAAGTCTTACGCTTAAGATAAGATTTTGACAAGAAATGCACTGTGTTCAGGTTAAAGTGAAAGAGAATTTTTTTCGAACGAGAAGTTTAGCAAAAAATATTACGTTAGAAAAATTACTAAATTTTCTCTTTATTTTAATGAACTTTCTGCATAGTCTATATATAAAGATAAATTACACTGCTTTCAACTGTCGAATCAACGAATACACGCAATTTTTGGTTTTTGAGATTTGTTAAAATACGTAGCAATGTCTCTCTAAAAGATTAAAATTTTCAATTAAGTAAATAGGCTGTAAAAAACCTTCTTGATGAAGCATTCAATGGTAGTATTTTAGTATAAACCTCATAAAGTGCGAAAATTTGGTTGAACTCAATAATTAAAAATTAGCAGTGTTTAGGCACTAGGATAAGCTGTTCAGAAAATATAGAAATATCTAATCTCTACAACTATTCAACAAAGAGAAGAGTCTGTTATTTATACATACGCTTACATTCTAGACGTTAATTTACAATACAAAGTTACATTCTAGAGGTTAATTTACAAATAAAAACATTTCTAGGATTCAGAATGCCCACGAAAAAAGGGGAAAACACCCAAGCTTGGAATGTCTATAATACTGCATTGAAAGTGGCATATCGTGCCATTTTCTATCAGCAGCAGTACGAGTAGTTGTTTTCCTATGATGCTGCATAGCTATTCACAAAAATGGTACCCATGGAGCAACATAGCTAAACAGTAAATATTTCCAAATAGCAATTTTATTGTTAATTGTTTTCCTAAAATGAACCATAGAAGTCAAAGAAACATTTGAAGATATCCTATATAAAATACTATCTGAAACTCCTTCCAATGTTATATGAAAGCATAAATATAATATTTTAGAGAAAATTTAATTTATGTAAAAATTATATAATGTGGAATTAGTATTAATAAGTATTTTCAAAGATAACTTATTAGCCTTAAAAATGAAATAAGTTTTGTAAACTGAGTTTAAGACATTTTTTGCCTAATCAACTAATATTTTCGAGTTTTTCATTAGAATTTACAATTAAATGAGATATTAGAGAACTTGAAGTCAATTTAACTTGCATATTAAGACTAGGGATTCTTACTTTGATAGGTCTCTTGATATTCAACACCTCAGCATGCTTTCTAAGAATACTGTAAGGAGCATGAATTTTCAGGAAATACGTTTTCCCATCTTGAGAAAGCTGAAAAAAATGTAGGAAAACAAGAATTAAATTTTTCAAAGGGACAAAACACATTTCAAATATACTTTAAAATATTTTCCCAGCATGTCTAATACTTTAATTTTATCGAATAGCGATCTTCATTCGAATAGCGATCATTCATTCATAGCGACAACAAGATTTCGAGTTTAGACACCAGCAACAACGACGAAAAAAAAAAAAAAAAAAAAAACTGAGGCGGTTAGCACATGATCTCCTACCAGTTCTATACTTTAAGTAACAACTAGCTAATTCAGAAGTCAAACAACAAAAATCAGAGTTATATTTTCAAAATTTTCGCAGAACTAGTTTCGATGTTTTTACCGAACCACCATCCTCAGCTGCAAAACCGCAAATGAACAAGATAGGAAATAATGACTAGATAAGATAAGAAAGCCTGGGCATGAATAAACAAGTGGCGCCATCTGTTGATGAAACCAGAACTAAAACATAATTTCTTTAAAAGCAATAGCTATTGACAGGGAGGGGCTTTTCACCCAACATTATTAATCAAACAGTTAAAAAATTCTCATCTCAACACACTAATTTTAGGAAAGTATAAAAATTCTATTGTCATTCCCTTCTTTTCATCAATTAGGTATAAAGTTGCAAATATTTTGCAGAAATTTAACTTTTGGGTTGTGTATTCTCCCATCAATAAAATTCCGAGTTCCATACTCAAAGACCCCATTTCGGATATGAATTCCTGGGGTATTTATAGGATTCCTTGCCACTGTGGTTTAATTTAAATTGGCCAAACTAAGAGAGCCTTAAAATTTCGCGCCAAGGAACATGAGGCATATGTTTCTTATGAGGCATATGAACATGAGGCATTTCTTCGAAAGCTGTATTGAAAGCGGTTTAAGAACTGCTTTCAATACGGCTTTCGATGAAATGGTATTAAGTAAGTGGGGGGATGGAACATTATTACTCAAATTAGTTAAATCTGTGCCGAAGTATACGAAAAATGTAATTATGGCTAAAGGTATCTCTCTAACAAAGAATCGGATGTCCCGTTATTTGCATGTTTTTGATATATAAACTACTTATTCAAAACGTCCGAATACTTATGTAGGTTCCATTTCAGAGCTTTTTTCAAAGAAAAATATTTTTTTCACCACAAAAATTTTGAATAACTTTTTCCAAATAAAACAGGTTTTAAAAAAGGTGATCAATCCTCTACGTGAAAGAAAAACAAAATAATTTCGCTAATATTTGGTAATTGGTATTTGCAAATAAAACTGTACAAGTGTCCGAAAACAATTGCGAGCCATCTTGTTGCTTTCTTACAGGTTCGTGGACTTGGCGTGATTGACGACAACACTTGAAGAATGAAAACACAATTAATTTAGGCAGTATTACTCAGGACAGCTCCAGAAACATGTTTACAATCGTCGAAACACTACGAAAAATACGCTGAAACAATCAGCAACACAGCCTTCAGGCTCTTAGGGTATAGCAGTGAAGACAACTTCTCCATCCATAGTATATCGCCAGTTTTATCGCCAAATTGAAGATTTCGCGCCAGCTATAGCAAGCCTACCTTCCCTTTCCATCTTCAACCTAAACCCGTCTTGCGAGGAAGCTATCTTACTGCGGCTGGGCATTTCATAACACTGCCCCCTCCCAAGAACTGGATGTCCCGAGCAGTACAATTCTTGTTCAGAAGCCAAATTTGAAACAAACAAAAGATAATAAAACAAAACAAAAAATACATAAAGAAACAAATATTTACACTATTTGCATGTTATTTACACAAATTAACCACATAACAATTTTAAATTTTTATAAATTAAAGTTCAGAATGAATTTCAATCTCAGGCTTTTCATAAAGTTATAACCCGGGTCAAATACTCTTTCACTACAGTTTTAAGATGTATTTCTGGTTTGCGTATCACAGTCTGAAGACGAAGTTCCTTCAGACTTTTTATCCATAGAAAGATCTGAAACAATTTGTTCACCATTCTTTAGTTTATTCGTATCACGTGTACAGTTCACCTCGGTACTTTTAGCAGCTGGTACCTGCTTATTTAGCTCTATTTCTTGAAAGTTAGTTCCGATGTTTGCATCAAAGTTATGAATAGAACCCGATCCTTTACATACAGAAGTATCCTGGTTTAGATTAAAGTTTGCGTCTGTAGAACTTGTATTATTGAAACAAACACTTAATTTGTAAAGTCGGTGTATTTTCTTGCCATACTAGAACACTGTGCTTAAGTTGTATATCAACTTCTCTCATCTCCGTATCATATGAATTATCAAATGGTTCAATACTTGTTAACTACGACTTCGTAACTATCAGTTTATATGAACTTAACAGTCTCATTTTTACTTTCTTCGACTTCTACTTCAGGCACTAAAGCTTCTTTCCACTTTTATTTCTTCATGTTTTTGTTCTTTCTCTTTAATTCCGTTACATAATTCACTCATCATTTCATAATCGTTTTCAGATACTTCACCAGCTACTTCCGCCAGTTTTTCATCCTTTGATTCTTCAGATGCCACTACTGTCATTTTCATGTCTTCTATTTTTTAGCTCTAATTTCTTCTGTAAGCTCCACTTTCATCCGTTGGAGTTGTTCTAGTAGCTTTTCTTGTCCGGCTTTTATCTAGGCTTTCATCTCTTCCAGTCCGGCTTTTACAGCTGCTAAGAAGTCCTTCAACTTCATATCCTCCGCCATAGCTTTTTCCTGTACGCAGGTCACTGGCATTCACTCCTAAATCCCCCTTCTGACACCAGTTGTTACGTTTCTGTACGGGTTCGTGGATTTGGAGTGATTGATGACAACACTTGATGAAGAATGAAAACACAATTTATTTAGCCAATATTACCCAGCACAGTTCCAAAATCCCCGTTTACAGTCATCGAAAAACTACAACAAATAAGCTGAAACAATTAGCAACACAGCCTTCAGAACGCAAAGCACTAGAATATAGCTCACGACTCGGTCGATCGCTCTCGGAGCTCAACGCGCTCGACGACGCACTACGCTATACTAAACACTCTCGCGATGCACTATCTCGCGATACACTCACGAGAACCTCGACACTAGACTGACGATCAACTGCTACTCCGCAGACAGGCATTGTTTATTCAGCTTTTGGGGTGCTTTCGAGAACATTCTGCGCCAAACCGGTAAGAATTCGTTCTAGAATGTTCTCTCTCCAATGGCATATCGCCAATTTTGTCGCCTGACTGGCGATTTCGCGAGAAATATGGCAATCTTGTCTGCCCTTGGCATTTTCTGGCATTTCGTAACAATATGTAGCAGCTTATCCTTAGGCCATACATTTTTGACCAGTCTTTTCTCAGTTCATGATATCAATGCTCAGTTTTTTTTTTTCAATAAGATGACAAGATTTTTATTTGTAATTTTAGTTTTATTTATTAAATATTACTTTCTTTGCATTTTAGACAGATTTTGAGCAGATAAAATTTAACAACAAAATCTTTAAAAATAGCATTCGAGAAGTGTTGGCATGCAATCTTTTATATTCGCTATACTATTCATATTTGATATATTGTATCTTAAAAAATAATACTTAGCGATAAAATTTGGTAGCAGTACCCCTTTATCTGAAAAATGATTCGACATAAATTAGAAACGGACATACAATTGAGGCCAATACATTGAATTGCGTCATAAAGTAAAAGCTTATCAGCTCATCTAAAGAATGAACTTATTCTAATTGCATTTGGCGAAATTCCAAGAATAATTTAATGCTTATAAATGCAGTATGTTGTTTTCAATCACATACATGCCTTAAATAGCGAACATGAGAAATCTTGAATTTTCTTATAATACGGTTTTTTTTCACGTGAATATATTCAAAGCTTAAAGTAAAATTTCCGGTTCATCACGTAAAGCCAAAATCGAATATCTTGTTCCCATTGATATACTAATAATAGAGTCTTAGATACTAATAACAGAAAGTTTCGGATTAAATATTAATGGAATCTTTTCACTGAAAACTGGTATGGGCTTCAAGTAAAAATGCCACTTTCGATTGTCCATTAAAAACTCCTATGAAAACGTAAAATATCACTTCCGGTCGTCCAAATTTACCCAAAATATCCAATTTTACCAAAACTCTGAACGCAGAAAGCCTAAACACAGAAAATGGCAATTTCTGGAAGTTTCATATAAGAGTAATCGTGGATGAAAAAATGGTCACACACTTATGTACAGACAAACACAGACAGACATTATTATAAAAATATTAAAAACGTGTTGTGGGGATCGCAATTCCTGCTTATTCACTGAAAACCCACTATCGAATTTTTGGGCAGAAAACATTAACTATCTACATAGATTAGCGGGAGCTAAAAGAGGGGGCCATGAAACTTGAAACGCAATATTTCTTATTTGCTTGAAAGCTTCGAACAAAGGTTTAACTTTAAAAGCAAACGTCAAAAAAATAAAGGACGTCATGTTCATGCCCACATTAATTTTCATTTGAAAATATAATTTAATATCGTTATTTTATTTGATAGGTTTTATTAATTTAAAGATTTTGCAAATGGTTTAAAGATTTTTGCAACTCGTCTTTCAGAGTTACAAGGTTAAAAAAAGCTAGTAGGATGAGTAACGGAACAAACTTTCATTGGCTAATTTTAATTTAAAATTAATTTTAATTGGCAATTTTAACTGAAATTGACGATTATTTTAATCACAACTTGTGGATTTCTATTTCAGCGTGATTCAAGTTACTCATAAAATTGTTTCATGTAGTCACATTCTGAACACGGTAAGCTATTTAATTTTCTAAAGTAAGACTTACAATGATGAATGATGAATGATGCCGATTTAATTCTATACCGAGTATAATCGATGACCGATGAATGATGCATAATAAGGTAAATATTTACAGAGTATATTTACGGTTTATGTAATTGAGAAAACGTTAATGAAAAATTAATTTTTACTAGAAATAAACACTTTGTTTTAGAATATTCCAAACTCAACGTATACATTCATTAA